ACACTAGCCAGAAGAGTTGTGTAAAGTTGTCAGTCAAGTCTATAACTTACCATAGTCCACATTACCTTCAACCAGATCCTTAATCAATGATTCCTGTTACTCATGTAGTAGCCAGAAGAGTCCTACGAGAGTAACAGGAATCATTAATTAAGGATCTGGTTGAAGGTAATGTGGACTATAGTAAGTTATAAACTTGACTGACAACGTTACACTAGCCAGAAGAGTCCTAAGTTCCCAATTTTGAAGTAATGGGCTAGACTAGAGGAAAGAGAGCTAATCAACATCACCAACCGCCAACTGTTTAGATACTCCAATCGAATATTGAGATTTTACCGTAACTCTTATAACGCACGTGAGGCCTCAAAATGCAGAGTACGATTTTGCAGCAACGAGACCTAAACCTGGACCCTCGGTTTCATAGTCGGAAACGCAACCACTAGGCCACCCCTGAATCCTGACGTGAATTACACTATTTAATAGTATCTATTACACTTATATACTGACGTGAATTACACTATTTAATATCACCTATTACACTTATATACTGACGTGAATTACACTATTTAATAGTATATAGTACACTTATATACTGACGTGAATTACACTATTTAATAGTATCTATTACACTTATATATACTGACGTGAATTACACTATTTAATAGTATCTATTACACTTATATACTGACGTGAATTACACTATTTAATAGTATCTATTACACTTATATATACTGACGTGAATTACACTATTTAATAGTATCTATTACACTTATATATACTGACGTGAATTAAACTATTTAATACACTTATCTGGTGACGCGAATTACACTATTTAATAGTATCTATTACACTTATCTATTGACGTGAATTACACTATTTACTAGTATCTATTACACTTATCTACTGACGTGAATTACACTATTTAATAGTATCTATTACACTTATATACTGACGTGAATTACACTATTTAATACACTTATCTGCTGACGCGAATTACACTATTTAATAGTATCTATTACACTTATCTGCTGACGTGAATTACACTATTTACTAGTATTACCTTATTACTAACTTTATACTACCGTTAGGACGTTAGTAATTACTACTTAATTTAATTAGTTATCTTACTTACTATTATATACTGACGTAGTATTACT